TTGGTTACTGTGGGAACAACTCGTGGGAGGTCAACAAAGATGTTCACCTATCAGGTAAGACTGAGTAGCCCAGTGTTACGTGGTATCTGGTCACCAGTATAAAGGTGTATCTGATGTCTAACTTGTTGTGGTTCAGGATCCTCTGCTGCAGGATCTCATTCCTAATAAAGGTCCCGTCTCCGGAGGAACCAGGTTGACCATCAAAGGACGACAGCTGCTCACCGGGCAGACGTCTGACCTGAGCGCCTTCCTGGGCACCCAGCCCTGCTACATGTAAGTACAACTCTACGGCTTCTGGTACTGCAGCACTAATTCTACTACGTCCCTGACTGTCCGTCTCCTCGCCTGTTCTCAGAGTTGAAGAGGTGAATGACACGCAGCTGGTGTGTCAGACTGGTTCCAGCAATCGGACGGGTCTCGTCCCAGTTCGGGTTCTGTTTGGTAAAGCCGAGCGGACTATTCCAAACGTTACCTTCCATTACCTCGAAGACCCCGTCATCATCAGCGCCATACCTGCCGAGAGCTTCTACGCGTAAGCGCCAGTCGCCCTACACCTGCGCTCGATCCTCACACACGCGCACACCTGCTAATTAGCTGTTGACTATTTTAGGGGTGGGCGTGTCATACGAGTGGAGGGCAGGAACCTGGATGTGGTGCAGCAGCCAATCATATCTGTGTGGGTGGAGCCTCTAGAGGTACAAAGGGTGAAACGGAAGAAACGACTGGCTCTTCTCACCTCCAAGCAGCAGCTCGTCTTTAACAGCACCATGACAACGGTAAGACAAACGGACCAATCGGAGACGAGCTTTTAAAATTTTTAGCCTGTCTCACGCCTGTTTTACCTCCCCGTCTGCCTCTCAGGTATCAGAGCGCTGCTCCATCCTGTCGTCCTCTCAGATGACTTGCCCGACCCCCAGAGTGAACCCAGAGGTCAAAGTTAAGGGCGTCTGGTTTCAGCTTGATAACGTCAGAGTCCACTATGAGAGCATCAAGGTACCTCCCATGAT